GGCTGCGCGGCCCCGTAACGCCGGCGCGGTTTGTGCCCTTGTCGTCCGCAGCTGGCCAAGGACCTGGTGCACCCCTCCCTGGAGGACGAGAAGAGGAAACACAAAAAGAAACGCCTCGTGCAGAGCCCGAACTCGTACTTTATGGACGTAAAGTGTCCAGGTAAACATTTAAAACGTTTGTCTCTTGCAGAAGGAACAGAACGGATTTGGTGTGCGGCTCACCTTCGTTCTTTTTTTAATCTGAATGTGGTTTGTCTGTTCTGCAGAGTAAAAAAAAAGCCAGTATGTTGCTCTTTTTTATCAATAAAAGGGTTTTCAACTTTTTTTTCAGAAGTTAATTTCCAGTCAGCTTTTCCTTTCTTTTTTCTTTTTTTCCTGGAGGCCTGTCATGGCACTTGTTTCTTTCTCGTTTATGAAATCCTGGCAAGTAGGGGAAAACCCAACCCCCCAGATTTGCACGTCTACCAAGTGCGGTGAAACGGATGCTTTAAAGCATCCATGGCATAAGATTCAAAGAGAAGACAAAGTTGTTCTTCTCCTTTTCTAAGCTGGTTGATTCTGTAAAGGCAACCAGAAAAACCTTTCACAAGGATATACACAAACTGACTGGGACTTTCTAGAAAGTAAAACATAGAGACAGCTGCCTTTTTCACAGGTTGCTGTTGAGAAGTAAGCTGACATCTACATCATGTACATGGGAGTTATATTCAAGGTGTTGCCTGTGTCTGCAGATCACTGATTTTAATTCCGGTGGCCCAGAAACGTCCTTATAACCAACTTCTCTTTTATAAACTACAAGATGGGATTTTCTAGCACAGTTGCAGGAGCATGCTCTACCAGCAAACAGCTTCTTTGATCACCACAGCTACGTCCGTACGGAGGCACAGAACCTGACAAGTGTGGTAACTTACCTCCTAGAAACTAGTGCAGTGTCAGAAGACTGTAAGAGAATGCATAGACTTACTTACAGTAGGGATCGTTGGCTGTATTCAGGTTTTCTTACTCTTTCTTAGTAGCTTAGATTTCTAAGAAGTTCTGAGACATTGTTTTCCATCTAAAATTAAGGTAAATTCATTAAAACTGTTTGAAAGTGAAGTGTGGTTACTTTTAAAAAATACATGGTTGAAGGCTAAGCCACTGTTCTATTTTTTAAACTTCCTTCAAACCAATGTACACACACGCATATACTAAGATATACTCTGTCAACAGAGGCACCTACACCTCTGGCTATCTTCATTATTGTTGGATTAATTGGTTACTGAGTTTGAGAGATGCAGAACAAAGCAGGAGATCTTTCAATTACGGGAGTCCTAAGCACGAGGCACTGAAAATACCAGATGGCATCACTCAGTGGTGTTGGAAGTTGCCAGCCAGTTACTGAAATAGGTTGGACTTGTTTCTTTGCAAATTCCACCAAGTTAAAAACTCGTCAGCGTGGAAGTTCCCATTCACGAGGGAAAACCAACATTTGCTATGGTTAAATTTTAGCTGCTAGCAGGTTTTTTTTGCAAACAAAGATTTCTGCAGTTACTACTTGTAACTGCAGAAATCTGCTGTCAAATAAGAGTTCTCTCTACCAACCTGTTCTCTTGTCAGAGTGTTTTCTCTTGTCAGAGCTTCCTCTTTCTGGTCCACACATGCTGAAAATGGAATCTATGCTCACTCTATCTATTTGTCTGTTTTTTATATCCACATCTAAATTAAATATTTTTTCAAAATTCCTCTTAGCTTATTGAAAATACTTGTCAGGGAAAAGAATGAAAGCAGTGAAAATCCCTTTGTCTAAGCCATGTATGAGAGTGATTTCAGTCTTAAGTCATCGAATTTAGAAGTTGTAGACAAAGCATTGCTGATGCCCCTTACTGCGTCTGGAATTAGGGAAGTTATTTTGTACAGCTCTTCTCGTTTAAACATGATGTTAGCTTTGTAGAATGCGACCGATCACATGCCTTATGTGTAACAATTATTAAACAGAAAGCAAACACGGACTGGAACAGCAGTGTTTGTGTTCACAGCTGCCCGACTGCCTCAACAGCAATGTTGTAGCGTTACAAGTAAAATATTTCTCTTCCTTGACCGGTTGTTCTGTTCAGCAGAGAAGACTAGTCTAGACCTCCTTGACTTCTTTGCAGGAGCCATACCAGAGGCAAATCAGGGCTTGCCAGCCATCAGGCCATGTTGATTTTGTATCCGGGGCATCGTAACACTTTCTGTTACCTAACTTGCTTTCCTGTGCATGTTAGTAAAAACAAGTACTTCAGACCACAGTAACAAGTAATTGCTTTTTTTCACTCGGTGTGCTGTGTAATGAGACATAGATTCATTTTTGGACAAATGTATTTAGAGTATCTTATTCACTTACACATACAATTAAAAAAAAACTCCTGGGAGAAATACTCAAATGGAAGGTTTCATAATGCTGTTTTCCAGGATGCTACAAGATCACCACCGTGTTCAGCCACGCTCAGACGGTAGTTCTGTGTGTGGGGTGCTCAACGGTCCTGTGTCAGCCTACTGGGGGCAAAGCCAGGCTCACAGAAGGTAAGGGGCAACGTTCAGCAGCCTAAACATCCCACTTAGACACATGCATTTATGTACGTACAGCCTGCAAATATTTTAGCATTGATCTGGAAAACTCATATTGGAACACTTACTTTGCAAATTATTTAGAGCTGGCTAGTGAACATTGCTAATTGGACCTGAACTGCAAATTGTTCTTCAGATACTTGTTTCTAAAGGGCTATACAGATAGGCCAGGCAGCTACGCAGCTACACTGAGATCAAACACTATTTTAGGTGCTTTCACTTGTTGTTTCTTTTAGCCTATCTGTAATAAATACTGCCACTGAGCTAAGTTTAGAGCATTAAATAAAAAGCACCATTCAAGGAGTAGGGTAAAGTGATTCTGTGCCACTGCTCAGCCGCAGTGGCTTGCCTGTTTGTTTTTTAAACAGTAGTACTACAAGGCAGTTCCCCTATTCATGTTACATCAAAAATTGGTTTGCATAAATTATAAAGGAACAAATAACCACTGATATTTATATACATATAACTGGTGTAGCACCAGGATCTTGAAATGCAGCTCAGTGTCACGTAGATGAAAAACACTGAGAAGACCCGAGAGTTTAAAAAAACTTAAAGAACAAATCCAGATTGTAATCATGTGTCGTTTAAATGACAAAAGGTAATCAGAGGTGCTAATTACATAGAGTAGTACTCACACCATGTGCTATTATACAGATGTTTATATGAGGACAGAATAACTGTCGAGCAGTTGAAAAGGTACAAACGCTCCTAGCAGCTGTTTCAGTTTGAGGTTTCTGTCACTAAATGCTGGAACAGTAGATGAAATTTTAAGAGGCATCTGGCAGAAAAGAAGTAGTACACCTTAGCCTTATTTTAAAATTAATTATGCTGTAGCCGTGTTGTTCTGCTTGAGTCAGAGAAGACTCAAAGTGCTAATTCTTCACCTCTTGTGGTACGTGAAGTCTAAATTTCTTGCATGAATTTTCCTACTTGAGTTGGGTGGACAATTTTCCAAGTCTGTGTAAAAACTTAAGGACTATTCATATCTATACTCATATGATTTCTTTACAGGCTGTTCATTTAGAAGAAAGCAACACTGAACACTTCAGCATGTCATTTTTGGATCAGTGCTCCTGAAAGCCTTACCAGTTCAAAAATGCCCAATCATACAACCACGTAATTACAGTTGATTTTGTAAAAATTACATGCTACCAGTGACATAATGAGCTGGAATCTTTTTCAATAAATGATTTGAAGTGCAAGTTTTTCCTGAAAGTCTGCAGATAACTGAGCTCTATTTTTATAATTTTACTTTTAAACAGTGTATTGTTACTTTGGTGGTGTCATTTAATATAAACCCCTTGAACTTAGTTTATCCTTCTCTTTGTTAATCATCAGCTACAGCAGTGTAATGCAAACTGCGACAGAAACTCCTGTAAAAATGCATGTTGTAGACTTTGTTACTGCAGCTGTCCTAACTGCAAGGGTTGCAAAGGCTCGAAAGATTTAAAATGACTCATTTGCTTTCAACACTGCAGTCACCCTTTGCTGAGTAATACAGTGATAAATAAAAAATACAGAAGTCACTCACGTTCAGCTGTTTTTCTGCAATGGTTTCTCCCTCCTTCTATCCTGGTCTCGAAACTGCATTTGCTATTTTATACTGAGATTTCTAAGCACAAAAAAACACAAAGGAGTCTTGCAAAACACCAAAAGCACTCACTATAACGAAGGCAGATGGTATATCAACAACAGTCAGTCAGCAAACTACACTGACAGCTCTGAAAGGAATCCAGTCATTAAAAAAACCCCAAACACTAGTACAGCAAAACCATGCATCCTTTCAGTATTAAATAATGACATTAAATAATTACCTTTTTTTGCAATGAGGAAACAGGTTTTTAGTTATTTTTTAAAAAACAATCCTCTTCTAGATGGTGGTTACAAAGCAGGTTTTTTTTAAGGCACAAGAAAACATTCAAGCAAAGTCTTACATGTATCTTATTTTACTAAATAATATCTCAAGTATCAACATCTGTTTCAAAGTATCAGGTATCTCAGACAATTAGATTGTTGTGAATTTCTATTTGACCTGCATTCTTTTTATGACTTTTAAAACTAGTACGTTTCTAATCAATTAAGAAAAATCCAAAACATAGTATTACAATTTGTTGCAATTACAAGGCAAGTTTTATTTCAGTTAATTCAAACAGCGAACACATAATTACCAGATGCAAAAAAGTAGGTGTTTCATACAGAAATGGATGCACCAATTTAGCATACATGCCTTTTAAGGAAAGTACAGTTTTATGTCAGTGCCTTACTGTGTTTTCCCAATAAAGGTTAATTTAGGAGCAAGTTAATCACGAAAGCTGCTCTTAACTGACCAGTTTCCCAGTCCCTCAAATAACTGGTTTCAGCACAGAGATCAAAGCAATATTAATTCACTTGTGCTAAGGGCAGATTGATTCCTAGTCTCCCACATCTCTGCCTTCTCTTCCTCTGCCGTAAAATGTAAGAACTCATGATTAAGTAAACACCAAATCAGAGATGCATTTTGTTCCATGTACTGGGAGATGGAATTTAGACATCACAGCATCTCCAATACTGTACATGTAACAAAAAATGGTTTTTTAAAGAATGTGGTCTGCATATAAAAAGTGGGTGGCTAAACACATTCTAAGGGGGCAGTGAGACATTGCCAGTATCTTGGTGGTAGAAATACCTTGGACACTTCTTACCATTATTCACTTTCATACATACTTCAGATATTTACATTTATTAGTGTTTGGTCATATGCAGACAAGCATAACAGTAAATCTATGCCTTCCAGAATCTTTGTCTAACCCCAAATACAATGTCCAGTGAGTGAAACTTGTTTTCTCTAAAGTATGCAAAATGGTTTTCAAGAACAGTGAGTACCATTTGCAAAACAGATGCTTCACAGAAGAAAAGTATGTTATAAATCCTAAAATAACAGTGTTACTTTTCAGATTTGCTATATTTAAAACATTGTATTTGGTCTACTTTTATTCATGTGTTCCTCCTCATAAAAACAACTAGGGAACTACTTACTCTCCTTCCCTGTGTAAAATGTGCAATGGCTTCTGGCTGCTACACGTTTACCCAGCTAGTAGGGGCTCAAAACTGGAAAAAACCCCAATGTGACAATTGTAGAAGATGCTTCTGTACTGGACCTGTCAAACAATATCAAAGACGTCAGTGGAAGAGTAGACAATTGATTGCCAGACCAAATGGAAGTTTGTTCAAAAAGGTTCTCTCTTGTGTTCTCTACTGATCTGATATTCTTGAGATAAAGACAGGATGCATTTATTAATGAATAAAACCACAAAGTTTTGCTGTGTGGGCCAAAAACCCGAGGCAGATAGTTTAGGTGTAAGCTTTTACTGTTTTAAAGCACAAGAAGAATTGTATTTATGAAGAGTACTAAACCACTCCTACTAGCTTCAATTAAAAATGTAGGTAAAACACTGAGACCTCAAAATACTGAATTTCCTGCTTTGTCAGGCGATAAATGTTACCCTAGGCATACCAGGAACAGAAAGGACAGCGTGTGGTTTCATCACGGGGCAGGTAACAACTGCAGAGTTAATATGGGAGCGAGGCAGGGAAGGCTCTCTTCTGCCAGCTGTTACCCAAGAGTCATCTTGTTCATTAAATTCAGAGAAATGGCTGCTCAGCAGTGCAGGGATGTAATCAGACCTCTCCAGGAGGACATTTTGCTTTGTATTGGCCTGGAAATACTGTCTGATGTAACTGCAGGGGAAGTGGGGTGGGGAGTCAATCACGGAGAGCATGGAGACCTTCCATGCCATTACGGAATACATCAAATGAATGTTACTGTATTCCTGCAGTAAACTTGAAGATTAGAGAATGCTTCTTTGGATCTCTATCACAATTTCTTGGTCAACCTCGTGCAAAAGTAACTCCTTGAGGCAAGTCTCTAAATGGAAAAAAGGACGGTTTTCAAAAAACCCCACAACCACTGTCAAAGTCTGTGAGACTTCTACTACTGGCTACAAGAACAGGCTTTACATTTTCAAGTTATCCGAGTCCCTAATTCCTATACTGAAAGGAGTATCTACATTACAGAATACGGTGACGTGTATCATTCAAAAACAGTGAGACAGTTTGACAGCTCACCACGTTGTGCTATTCAGTCATACCCGACTGTGGAAATAACATCTTTATTTCATATTACACTAGTTCCACACATTCTCTGTGTCCACTAAAAGTGGAAGAGAGGGCATCTAAGTAACAAAAGGATATTTACTTACATTTCCTTCATTCTTTTCTAATTCTTAACAATCCACAGTTCTGACAAAAGCATCCTTCTGGCATAAATCTGCATTCCAGGGGTAGCTTCAAGATTTGTGTTTTGTTGGGTTCTTTCGCTTTTTAAGCAAATAGGGACATATATGTGAAAATACAAAAATCAACAGTAAACCCATTTTTCTTTAGAATGTAATACTGAACAGTTTTGGCAGACTGGAACTGTGAGAATAACAAATGATGTCTTTGTGTGCTCAAAGCAAGATGTGAAATTTTTGAAAAGTTTAACATTTGAGATAGATAATTTGTGGTACTTCTCTGTGCAAGAAACCAATACTAGTTTTTTTTAATCTTCATCTTGCTATTTTTTTTAATCTTGCTTGTCTAAACAGGAAAAAACCTGCTAATATAACGACAACTTACACAGGTACTACAGGAAGTCAGATTTGACTGTTAAGAGTCTAATTTTCCGTAAGTTAGGAACTTCCCTGAGAGATGAATTCCAGTTACACATAAGTTTAGCACCACTAGCAGAAGTTAATTAAGTGACTTTTTGATGCTGTTTCTTCTTAGTGAGATCAGAGTCCAATGACGTTTCAGTGCAGTCAGTTCAGTCACACGTGTCTCTCTTTTTAATCTATATATTGGGCCCATTTTTCTTTATCAAATTCCCTTGCAATCTTTAAGGCAGTGCTGTTGAGTGAAACCGATTGCATGTTACAGATAATACTAACAACTACTCCTCTAGGTGGTGCCACCAGCCCAGTATCTAGAGCTTCCGAGTCCAGCTCTTCAGGAAGAATCAGGAGGACACTACTAGCGCCCACTGCACCACCCGTATGCGACGCATAGTGTCTCTGCTGTCTGCAGCAGCCACATTCTTGTTTTTTCTCTACTACAGCCCAAGCCATTGCGTATTTACCGTCCCTGTCCCACGATACTTCTGTTTTTGGCACTGGGGTCCACATCATGGCGACTGTGTCTGGTTTGAGGTACCCAGGAAGAAGTTTGCCATCAGTCTTTTTAAACTGGCCGGCTTGATAGCTGTATAACAAGGCATTTCCAAATTTCAGAAGGTCCCCTACTGACGACAGAAAGCCACCACCAGCCCACTTGTAAGAGTTGTCCACGTACGGTGCGTTTACCAGCCGTCCCTTTTTGTTGTAAACATAGCACCTAGAATTCAAGAAAATTCGGCTCTCATTCTCAGATACTATGCACAACTATTTTAAGCTGCCCTACCTTAAAAAAGCAAACTGAGCACCTGTTAGCTTGTTCTCATGAAACTTCAGGTTTTTCTAAAATATTTTTAAAAATACATTATTTCTTGCATAAAAATCAATAAGAAATTCATAGAGAGAGTAAAAAATGAGGTGATTTCTTAGGTTAGAAGCTTAGTTTCAATAGAAATACTAATCCTTCTACTTAGTTTTAGGAGCATACCAAGAGTAAAAACAATTGACAAATACGAGATGTAACAGAAATCTATAGATCAGTCAGCACAGGATTTTCATTACATCCCTGTAGTAAAGTGTTTTAAGAAAGAGGAATCCTACAGCTACCCCATGACTATGAGACACTGAGCTGAAATTTCACAAAGTCTGACGTGACTGTTCTGACACAGTAGTTTTCATTTACGATTGATTTCCCCCCACTGCCCCATTACAGCTGCCACATACAACAACTGAGTGTTGTGGGACTACTAAGAGAAGTGAGAGGCGGGAAAGTCTAGCAAACTTGTCATGAAAATAAAAATTTGAAACTACCAACAGAATTGCAGAATGAACTATCAAGGAACAACACGAGTTCCGACTGAATTAAGCTTTTGAAAGAAACAGTCCAATCGTGACTGGATTCATTTCATACAATATATGAAAAGGAACGCTGAGTAACTGTATCGTCCAGCGAATTTCAGCCTTTAGACCACAAGAAGCACCACGTACCACTTGGGAGAGTCGTGAAAAGGCAGTTCACGGAAGCGGAGAGGTGGGGGAGCAGCACAAGCCTACTATCAAACAGTACAGAGCTACATTTCCTATCTAGTCTGCACTTCGACTGGAAGGCTTTTAGGGAACTTCTGAAAGCCATAATATTGAAAATCAAGACATCGAAGCAAAGGAGGAGGGACAAATGGTCCAAGACTACCATCAGCTCTGCCAGTGACTTGATTATCTCTGGGTCCCTACAGTCTGCTTTTCGATCACAATAAAACCTGTTACAAAGACACTGAAATGCTTTGACTTACGCCTCTAAAAGATCCAGAGAACACAAATTTTTAAACATTTTCATGTCAGTGAAATGTAGTCTAACTAAATCCATAAGCAAAACACAACATGTCAATATGTCTGTCCCAATTCTTTCTTCCCTACTATATTTCAGTTTATAAAAGGTTTAATATCAACACATACATTTAAAAGAACTTGTCTGTAGAAGATGATAATTTATGAGAACATCACTAGCATCCCGATCTATGGCCAGAAAGCCTCTGAAAGTTTGCAAGCAAAATAAATAGCAGCACAGAGCACCTCAAAATACAGCAGTAAAGCTACCCCCAAACCAGTACAAACTACTCTGTGTTTAAATACACACTTGTACACAAGTACTTTAAAGCTTGGATTCAACATGTTCATCGCCATTTTCACTTTATGAAAGCATTTCAGAAGCTGAACTTCTAAAAAATGTGTGTCTCGTTTTCACGAGGCTTTTTCCATAACTTGCTTTTGTGTATCAGTTAGAATTCTTCTCCTGCACCAAAAAATTTAACAAGTTAGGCAACAAATCTATTTCAGAGCCCAGACAGGTACCTTAATAAAGTGAGAAGTTGTGGAAAAAGTAAAGTTTCATCCTTGTTTACCTTGCTCTGTTATATATCATTGCTTCATTGTCATCTAGTACAGTTGATAGCATATCCAAATCACGAAACATTTTTAGCATATAATCTGTAAATTTTTGTCCTGAAACTCTCTCCACAACAGCGCTTAAGAGAGTAAAGCCGTATGTTGAATACAAGAACTGACTACCTTGAAGAAACACAAAAAGAAAGGGAGGCGAGGGGTTAAAGTTAGTTGCATTAGGCTTAAATGGAATCTGAAGGACAAAATTTAAGTAGTCACGTGCAAATAAAACGATATATAGCAACAAATGATCAATGAAAAGACTCCCCACCCACCCCTATTTTAATCCAATGTGAATCACAAGCGTGTGATACTGGGTCACAGGAATTTCTGTACTGCAGCGGGCACAGACGCCTGCTAAGTGCAGGAATCTCTGAGAACAGGGCTAAAAAACTTCCAGGGATCTGAATGAATAAGCCAGGTTTCATGCCAAGATGTGAAGATTGACATTTAACATCCTTTCCACAAGATTTACCGCACCAGGTCTAACAAGGACATCTGGATTTGGAAATCTGAAGCAAGCCATAAAATTACTTCTTAAAGGACCCTCATCTACTGTGACTTGTTTGTGTGTCTACACCCTGTTTACTTTTTACCAGCAATGCACATCATTTGCCTAGTACCCTAATTCATGAAGAGCTTACACCGAGGAAGTTCCTCAAAGTCCTCTCTAGAATTAGCTTAATTCCAACAATAACTAACCTCCACAATTCTGTGATTCTAAGGTCTTTCTGTAGAATTTTTTAGGTCTGGTTTAGTGCCTCATTAAAAAATATTTCCTTTTTGGTTCCTATCTAGAAGGCCCAGAGCATGAAAACAGCAAGTTGGTATCCATTTACAAAATATTTTGTAGAGACACAATTGTTACAAAATCCACAATCTGCTTTAGTATTTATAAATTCAGTAACTGGTAAGCTGCATAGCACTTACTGCATTACTTAGAGCTCTTAGAGCTCTTTGGAGAAAAGTCTTATTTCTACCTGAGGTCTCACTTTCTTTTCTCCACTGCATTATCTGGGACTTGTTGTAACTACCTTTTAGGTCTTGGCTGCATCATATTCTGAAGCTGTTAGATGTTAGACACATCATAATTCTTTAAGCTAGTAGATTGGTAAAGATATCTATAAAAGATCTTGACCTAAAATCAGCTGATAAAATCAGCCTGAGTCTTCGAAAGTTACGTCAGTTTTGGTTTGTGCAGAACAGCCTGAATATTTCTTCGTCGAGGAAGGAGAAACAGAAGAAAACAGAAATCTCACACAAATACTCTTTAGTGGACATGACTATCGCCGCTCCGTGTAAAATCATTTGAAATAAAATCTTCATAAGAACAGCACATTTTGGTCCAAATGAATAGAAACTCACCTGGTTTAAAGAATAAAGGATCATTTTTGAATATTTTCAGTGATTCTATCACGCTTTCAAATTTTTCCTTCAAATAATACTCTTCTTGCTCAAATTCCTTGTCTCTTCTGCCAGGCTTTGAATTTCGGCTTTTCACCTCACCTTCATGTTCTTTCCTCGGTTTGACAGAATCGGTCTTTTCAATCTCTTTGCCTTCTTTCTCTTTTTGTTCTTTATCTTGACAGGGTTTTGTTAGTTTACTTGCTCTGTTTGCCTTTTCCTTCTCCTCCTTTACTTTTGCAATATCTTTTTCATAGTGACGAATCCCACTCAAGTGTGAAACTAACAGTCTCGTAGTAATAGCGACCTAGGTAGAAAGGACAGTATTTAAACGTGAAATCCCATACAATGCACAGTACCTCATCAGAAAAGTAAAATTCAGCATGAGAAGCAACAGATGAAGATGTAAGACCTTTAAAATATCATCTATTAAAGCCAATTAAAATAAATACATATATACGTGTACACTACACATTTGATATAAAAGTGAAGATCCACATTTCCAGCATTGCCTTTCCGAGCAGCAAACATCAGTACTTGTCTAAATGACTTTTGGTGTTTTATGGGAATAGGTCCAGACACAGGCACCCACATGCATATGGCTGTGCAATGACAGAAACAAAATCCCAAAAAAGTGTTACCAATAAACAAGTACATACCTTTTCACCCTCGTAGACTTTTTCGGGAAATTCAGGGACATATTTCTGCACTGGAGCATCTAAATCCAGTTTCCCCTCTTCCCACAGTTTAGCAACAGCCATCATCGTAAGACACTTGCTAATACTAGCAATTCGCATGATAGTTTCTGGCTTACATACGACACGATTCTCTACGTCAGCATAACCCAAACCTTTAAGAAAATAAAAACATTGGGGTAAATATTTTGCACCGAGACATGCTGAATTGATTATTTGCAGTGAGTTAGATTTAGTGGCTCCTTAAAACATTCTTCCTCTAGCTACACCGGGACATGAAGCACGGGACGATCCCTGTTGCTGCTTCAATTAAGCTAGTAACATTTTAATGTAGTAGGAACAGTTACCAAAGCTCATTGTATTGGCCAACGTCACCCTAAGTTACTGATTAAGACCACAAAACAAACCTAATGAGATTGATAAATGAGACTGATGATTAAGCCAAAAGTTACACTCCTGAGGTCAAAAATTCAATGTAGAAAAACTAAAAGAGACCAAAATCTAGACTGTAAAATAACTAACCAACAATCATAACTACTCCTTTTATCGTTCTGAATTAATGGCTGACATAGTAAAGGATCTTATTTTATCAATACAGAAGCTGAGAAAGGAAATCCCTCACAAGCTCACAGCAATTACCTAAGGGAGGAGGACAACAAAACGAGCCAGAAGTCTGCCAGAGCAACATTACCCACCTCCCAGCTGCCCGACTCAGGGCAGTGGTGTTCCCTGTGTCCACACGCAGCAGGGCACAGAGAAAGCTCTGCCATGCCTTAACCCACCCCACAGAGTTGCCTCGCTGTCAGATCTGGCAGTCTTGGGGATAAACCACAACCCTGGCATCAGCTCCCTCACGCACCTTCCCGCACGCCACAGAAGGGATTCTGCAGAAGGCTGAGAAAAACTTCTTTCATTGCTAGCTAATTTGAGGCCGAAAAAACTGTCTCAAGCCAGAGACAGTTTGTGATTTGAGTTTCTAGCACAACCTTTTTATTAGGCCACATTACAGAGGTACCAGAGAGGCTCTCCAACTCCCTGTCACAATGAAAACGAAATGAAAACCTATAACCAGCTTTATACATCTATAAACGTTAACACAGCAACAGACTCTCAGAAGAAAAGCAACAATCTCATAAAGATTTTTTTTAAAATTCTATAACACATTAATGAAATACACTGTCATTTACTACTACCACTTAAGCTGCCCAAAAAACATTAGGAAAATGTTTCTGAAAACAGACACAGCATCAAATGTCTATGAGCAGTACTAATAGATTCTATTTAAAACTAAACAGCCTACCTAGAAAAAGCACTTGGAATTTCTGGAAGGATGATAACCACTAAATCTCAGCACCTTCCCAGTAAAAACCTGCACCTCAGCTCACAACTAGAAGACAGATCACCAGATGTGAGCCATTATCATTTTTGACTTTTAAATAAGTTCCAGTGGGGAGAAGGAGTTCTTTACCTTCTATATGCAACTCTACCAGACCACTGTACAGATGAGTGCTGAGGGTACATTCAAAGACTGATCTGACAAATTAATGGAAGAAAGGCTCTTAAATGCAACTGTTGAGATGTGGGAGGCTGCTCAGGAAGTTAATGGATTATCAATTCCTGAAAATTACTGGAGGTTACCAAGGAAAGCACAGAATCACAGACTGGCCTAGGCTGGAAGGGACCTTAGAGATCATCTAATCCAACCCCTGCCACGGGCAGGGGCACTTCTGAACTAGCCCAGGTTGCTCAAGGCCTCATCCAAGCTGGCCTTGAACACCTCAAGGGAGCAGGCAGCCACAGCTTCTCTGGGCAATTTATTCCAGAGCCCAGCCACCCTCGTACTGAAGAATTTCTTCTTAAGATCCAGTCTAAATCTACTTTCCTCTAACTTAAACCCATTTCTCCTTGTCCTATCGGTGGGCACTTCTGTAAAAAGCCCCTCTCTGGCCTTCCTGTAGGTTCCTTTCAGGTACTGGAAAGCAGTGATAAGTGCAGGTACTGAAAGGCAGTGATAAGTCCCCAGCCACTGTCCAGAGGTGGGACGTGGATGAGTCTCAGACTGATCAGTGTGTCCCAGCTGTTAATTTGTAAAACATTCAGCAAGCACAACTACTACTCCCACATACCGACCTTCTGACCAGACTTCCTTTCCATCTACAGAAACTCCAACCAGTATGCCTGGGATTCCTGCTTCATCCTATCAACAAAAAAAAAAGGGAGAAAACATGAAGAAGGCTCTTGACAGCGTAAACCCTCAAAATGCCGAGGCAGCCCTA